GACACCAGTAGAAATGTATTTCTCTTTTCACAGTGCCATGGGATCTTGAACATCAAAGAGGTTATAAAGTGGATATTCTTCCTCCCCACTGTGTTGAAGTCAACACTCAGTCTTCTGTTTGTGGGACATTGCTGTGCGCAATTGGCTGCCGCGTTCGCCCACAAATATACAGTCAATTCACTTTACAGTGTGTTCTGTGAAGCGCTTTGGGACGTCCTCCTGACGTGAAAAGCGCTATATCAAATGCAAGGATTATTATTATTATATTATTATTATATATAGCCAACCCATAGCAGTAAAGGGACTAGCACAGGCTCATTTTTCTTCACAATACAGTTGAATAAGTCATCAAATTTTGACAGCAGTTGCACAGATTTCCTTAGACAGTAGATAATATGTTTCATAGCTTTGGGAATAAGCAGTTCACTTTCTCAGAAGCAAAATAGACCATTTCACCCCTCAAATCAAATATGTTTTGTTTATATTGCATGGCATAAAACATTGCTTGGATACAAAACAAGCTATCTGGGAACCTGTGTAACCATTCCGCAGTATTTAGATATGCAAATATCAGCTGTAATTCAGTAAACAAACACTCTTAAGCATTTGATGAACTTTGCAGATAACAGTTATGTAAATAACTGTAGGCAGACAGAAGGCAGCTGGCAGTTTGAGCACTTCAGACTGAACTCTTCAAATACACAGGGAGAGCACTTTACATGCTAAAGAGGAGGTTTTTCAGATGCAGATGAAAAATACTACATTGATGGAACAAAAATATTCTCTCATCTCCAGGGCCAAGTACATCCTTGAGCACAAACCATAACATTTACCGAACTGTCTTCCTCAGTAACAGTGATATCAACACACATTTGTATTTGCAAAGTTGTCCTGAAAGAGTAAACAACAACAACAACAACAAGATTCCATTTATAAAGCGTCTTTCACGTCAGGAGGACGTCCCACAAACACAAACAAACTGAACATCTCCAGTATTTCTTCAAAAGTCGATCTAGAACTCCATGTTAGGTGAACTACTGCAGGAGAAAAACAGATATAGTGCCACTTGTTATAGTGCCCTTCAACATAGCTCTGTCTCACTCGTGGGTCTACTGTTGATCCGCACTAACCGGAGGTACAGTATCCTGTGTTCCAGCGCTAACCAGCCAGCTTTTCACACTTATAAATGTCAAACTTCCAGGTCATCAGGTTGTCGATAACATCATTTCCTAAACACTGCACATGTGCACTATAATAATCCTTATAGTTGCTATAGTGCCTTTCATTTCAGGATGATGTCCCAAAGCATTTCACAGGATGTAGTGTAAAGTTTAGTTTTGTGGGTGAATGCAGCATCTAGTTTGTACACAGCAATGTCCCACAAACAGCCATGAAGTGAGTGACCAATTATATCTGGGGGATTTTTGGTCAGGACAGCAGGAGAAATCCCCTACTCTTTTTGAATAGTTCTATGGGATTTTTAACCACCACTTGAACAGGCAGATCGGACCTTGGTTTAACGTCTCATCTGAAGGACTGCACATCCAACAACATAATAATAATAATAATCCTTGCATTTGATATAGCGCTTTTCACGTCGGGAGGACATCCCAAAGCGCTTCACAGAACACACTGTAAAGTGAATTGACTGTATATTTGTGGGCGAACGCGGCAGCCAATTGTGCACAGCAATGTCCCACAAACAGTCGTAGATTGAAAATGACCAATTTATTATTGTTTTTTTAGTTTTTTTTTGGAGGGATTATTATTAGGCGTGTGGAGTAAGGAAACTTGCCCAAGGTTTCGCTCTGCCTGGAATTGAACTCAGGTCTCTCGCTTGCAAAGCGAGTGCTCTAACCACTGAGCTACAGGACTCCACTGAGCTACATAGCATATCTCCAGCACAGCATTGGGGTGTCAGCTTAGACTAGTACGATAATATTGACTGTTCATCTTACATTTCATGCAATGTGTTCAGCTCAGACGCATTACCTGTTAGTGGAGTTATTTCTATACTAGATCAACACGCGTGCTGAGTGAGAAGGCTGTAGGGGTAAGCCCCACGTCGGGACTTGGAGTTCATATTGTCAAAGTTGACAATCCAATGCAGTGATGGGGGCGGGGCGTGTTGCATTGTAAGAGGTACTGTCCTTCGGATGAGATGTTAACCCAAGGTCCTGTTTGCTTGTACAGGTGGATGTTAAGGATCCCCCTACTTGAAAAGAGAAGGGAGTTTCTCCCAGTGTGCTGGCTAGCACTCCCCCAAGTAAAATTAGTCATTTGTTTCATAGCTGTATGTGGGCCACTGCTCTGCATAATTGGACTGCTGCGTTCACCTATAAATAGTCATTCTATTTCACAGTAAATCCTGTGAAGCGCTTTGAGATGTCCTCCTGACATGAAAGGTGCTATAATGCAAGAATTATCGTTATTATTAAATTGTCCACAATGTTAAGATTACTGTAAACCTGCCAGGCTTCACTGAACATGTCTCAATCTTCACTCTTCTTTCCCTGATGCCATTTTTCTAAATTGTACATGACAGCAACAGTGGACGCAAAAAAGACAGGAAAAAAAGTCTTATTAACAGCCCCTCCTTCAAAATTTAAACATAATGATGGGTTTCTGCACAGGTCAGAGAACCGGCTGCACAAAAAAATTCAAACACGCAACCAAACACTTCAGGTCAATATCCTGACACAAAGAACACAATGCTGCTTCACAGCTCTTGTATGGTTGTTAATTACTGAGAGACCATTAGCTTTGCTTACCGTTTCTTAGCTTTCACTTGAAAGCTTTCAAGTTCAATTATAAATCTATATGAAATTTAGATTGATTTTTAGCCCTGTGCAGAACTTCCAAATTAATGTTTGCCATGTCCATGACAAAACGATTTTGCCTTGAAAACTGGGCACCAGCCACTTACTTTACTAATGTCTTTAAACCCTAACCCAAATTCTCAAATAGATAAAACACACGTGAATTAAATCCTGCAAATAATATGCTCCTTTTTCTTATCCATTCTTAGCAAAGGAAAGTGAGAGCAAAAGGCAGGAGTAAATCAAACATAACACATTAGAAAAGTGTGTATATATGTGTATATATTAAAAGTACTTCAGTGTGTTAAATGAAAATCCTCATTCTATAGAAACAGTTTTCCTGATTGAGGTTAAGCAGAACAGAATTCATAAATGATATGATATAATAATAACCCTTGGGTATGATGTTGAGAGCATCTCAAAGCACTTCAGAGTTTCTGTGAAAAGTAGTGACTGTATTTGGAGGTGAGTCTCGGTGGTTTTCAAACAAGCAGAGGAGGGAGAGAATGAAAGGCTACATATTAAAAGGAAAATAGATTGGTTTTTGAAAAAGAGGAGTATTAAAGGGCATGAAGAACATCATGAGAGTGAAATTAGATGGTTCACATCTAGAAAAACACCAGTCTGAATTTAATGGGCTGTTCATGTGCTATAACATTTAATGAAGCTACAAAAAATAAACACTGATTGAAATCGGCAGAGAAGATACATGAGCTGTTGTGTTGCCGTAACCAATATTTCCTTCATAGACCGTAATGCTTTGAGTTACTCCATCATCAATAAAAAAAGATTGCAGACTAAATCTGGTACATGAAAAGATTCCATCCAAATATGATCAAGTGGCAATTGTTCAGAAGTTTTATCAGAGTCTCAGTCAGTGGTAACCAAACAAGCAGAGCAGGGAGAGAAAATGAGAAGCTAAATAAGAGGAACAACTACTTGGACTCAATTAGTCTTTCAACATAGGATGTGCATCTCAAAGCGTTTCACAAAGATAATAGGGAAAATCATTGAGCACTGGGAAAGTTGAGAGTGTTGACAAAATGTATGATCAAAAAGGTATTTTTAAGAGTTATGGTTTTCGCAGAAAGGGAAGAACCATGTCAAAGGGATTTTGGGAGAGCGTTCCAGAGGGTGGGGGCACAGTGGGTGAAAGCCAAAGAGAAATATAGAAAGAAAATATTTCAATGGCTTAAAATTTAGGTATGGCTCATATTTCATAATTTTTAAAAAACGGTTCCTTGTGACTCTGTGGAAAATCAGCTAACTCAGCACAGCTAGAGATTGAATCTGTAATCATACTGGTCTGTGTGGCTCAGTAACGGTCCATGCAATAATAATAATTCTTCCATTTGATATATTACACTTCATGTCACAAGAACATCTTGCAGCATTTTGCAGATTTACTAAAACTGTAGTGACTGTACATTTTATAGGCAAATGTGACAGCCAATTTGCACAAAGCAATGTTCACAAAACATGAAGTGAATGATCAATTTTATGGGGGATTGTTGGCCAATGACATGAGGATAAACTTCCTTCACTGTAATGCATCTAAACAGTGAATGATCAATGAATTATTTTCAAAGCACACCATATTTAGAACACAGTTAATACTTTCTTCACCTTCCCTGCTCTAGAGCACTAAACATCAGTTATTACCTAAAAATTTTCCCATTTTACTAGATATGTGGCAAATTTATTTAACCCTTCATTCAGTCAAAATAGTTTTCCCCACTTCACTCCCTTCCTCTGCTGAAGGAAGTGACTAGTACTTCCACAGGATAGGTACATCATCCAAAGTAACCATTCATTATGTGTGAACCTGGACAGCAAATATTGGCAGGTTATTCAACCACGAATGAGATCCCAGACTAGCCCCGCTCTTCCTCCTCGTCGATGTACAAGTACTTACAGCAGGGTCAGAACTGTAAACGGTTGCTGATTTTTACCTAATTGCTGCACGTCTCATGATATCAGCCATCAGACATAGATCAAAGTATTGCACTACATATGCATTTACCCGTTGAAGCATCAGGGAAACAATCCTTATCATTTTATTCAAACTGTAGCTGGAATCTAGTATGCCAATGGAATAAGCTCCTAATTTATCTTTAGAGTGAACAATACTTTGTATTTCTGAGAAATAATCGTGATCGTAAACCACAAATAGAGACTTACCTTCACATTTCAAGCCCTGACGTACGAGGCCCCATAGCATCTCTCCACAGTAGTCACAGAAAGTTGGAGCTTTATAAGAGTGCACATAAAGAGCATGGGGACGAATCTGGAAATCTTCAACAGTGGCGAGTACTGAGGAGCAGAGAGACAAAATTAATCTTTAAGCCAGAGCTAAAGTAGAACATTTGTTCCAGATCTAAAATTAATTTTCAAAATTCCAACACAATATCTTATTTTAAGATGTCAATAGACAGTTGTGATAGTGTATTGCCAGGCTCCTGGTCACCCTGCAGCACCCTCTACTGTTTGTGTACAAATGCGGCAGCAAGATGGGGAGAGGTCAGACTTGAATTCCACAATTGAATGACCTGCCAACGATGCCAAGGTTCATACATGAACAATGGCCACTTGAGCGGATTACCAGGGGGGCAACCGGCAACCTTGGAACCACACCACAACAAGGAAGTCAGACCAGGACAGAGAGCATATGCCAGTGGGGAGAAAATAAGAAAAACAAGTGGACAGATTAAATATTTAAAAATCATTTTAGTTATAGAAAAATCCAAGTGCAGTGTGTAAAAGAGCTTTGCTCGTCTCAGACTGATAGCATCTTCTAAACTCAGCATCAGGCTATCTTAGTGTGCCATCGAGGTAAGAAAATACATAAAGGATTAGGAAACGTACTGTGAACTTTTTTCTAAAACATCAACGTTGCAATTAAAAATTTAGGAGTACTTGTGATATGATTTGGAGCTCACTTTTAGCCCACCTAAATCTAATCCCTATACCTGTGTCCCTCACTCAGCACGCCTATTGCTCTATGTATTACTAGACATATTCAGAACCATAACTATTACTCTATACGTCTTCTCCTTCCTCTTCCCCCACCAAACACCAGTGGTTCTTGGGTGTCTGACTTCCATCACAGTATAAGCAGAACCTCAGCATTTCAAAACAAATAAGCAGTGCCCCAAAATACAGACACGCTGCTCACCTACATCACCCACCTTCAGACAACTCCAAGACTCCTATTTCTATTCTCAAAGCATCCTTCAGAGGAGGACACTTACTACATAGGACCTATTATGAAATGTTGCAATAGAACTTAAGACTGAAATGTAGTCTCCAAAGTCCTGTAGCTCAGTGGTTAGAGCGCTTGCCTTGCAAGCGAGAGACCTGGATTTGATTCCCGGTAGGGCGAAACCTTGGGCAATTTTCCTTACTTCACGCACCTGACAATAATCCCTCAAGAAAAAAGAAACAATAATAATTTGGTCACTTCAATCCACAACTGTTTGTGGGGCACTGCTGTGCTGCCGTGTTTTGCCCACAAAACATAATGTCAATTCACTTTACAGTATATTCTGTGAAGCGCTTTGAGACGTCTAGAAGACGTGAAAAGCGCTATATCAAATGCAAGGATTATTATTATTACTGTTGATAGCACATGTTTGGGTTTGTGCACCAAAGCCCATTGTCGATATCATACCTTAAAACCAAGAGCAGGGAAAGCTGATAAAATATGTCCAAGATACTTTGGAAATAATGGGACATAGAAACTGACTCTACACTGCATCTAGTTATTTGTAGATTTACCATGAGCTCCCTGCTCAAGGAAACGTTAAGACAAAATCAGCTGCAACCTGAGGAAGTGGGTTGACAACACTCCACTGTGGTCTGATACAGGAAACTGTTGAGCCAGAAGGAGGCAAACAATGTATTGATGTTGCGGTACAAAGACTCTGCTGAACACCTGGCTTACCATACAAGTGAACCATGTGCATAGTCAAAGACAGAAGAAAAACTGCATTAGATGGCTAAACCTGACGGCTTTTTAGTTTACAAAAACATCACTAGAAATACCTGTTCTCGTTAAACGCCAATACGTTTTCCACTTGAGTTTATTCCTTGCAAAAAGAATAAATGCATTTAGTGTAGCACTCCTCAGCAAGAATGAGGCTCAGGCAGTCATGCTCTGAACAAATCTCTCGAAAGTGTGTAAGAAACCCCCGGTTGACTCAATCTCCAATTCTGCCACCCTGTAAGCAACGCTGCCCCCTCCCCTTCCCCCAGGTTCCATGAGGTCCACCTACGACCAACCACTGCAGCACACTACACTAGCAAGATTCAGGCTTCCAATAAATTCAAGTCACCCATGGAAATAATTTGTTGGCAGAGCACCAGCCATTTTTAACAGTCAGTTTTGTGGCATGACACTGTTTCAAACTGCAGAACTGCATTTCTGACAGAATGCCACACAACCGGAATTCAGCCTCAGTTTGTAAAGATTGCCCTTGGTGACTACACTATTTAAAGCATTGGCTGTCTGACTGCTGTGCTCTAAAACATCAAAATCTAACATTACTCTGTCTCATTGATTTAGGAAGAAAGCAAATCTGCCTCCTAACTATGAAACCATTGATGAGCAAGGCTTCCATTTCTTAAGGTCTACAGCTGAACAATTTGTTTTAATAATAATAATAATAATCCTTGCATTTGATATAGCGCTTTTCACGTCGGGAGGACGTCCCAAAGCGCTTCACAGAATATACTGTAAAGTGAATTGACTGTATATTTGTGGGCGAAACGCGGCAGCCAATTGCGCACAGCAATGTCCCACAAACAGTCATGGATTGAAAATGACCAATTTATTATTGTTTTTGGTTTTGGAGGGATTATTATTAGGCGTGTGGAGTAAGGAAACTTGCCCAAGGTTTCTCCCTGCCTGGAATTGAACTCAGGTCTCTCGCTTGCAAAGCGAGTGCTCTAACCACTGAGCTACAGGACTCCACAATAAACTCCAAATAAGGACAAAACCTCCACTTAGTATTTTAGATTGCAACTCAATTACAACAATTTGCACTTATATAGCATCTGTGATATAGCTCCACAAGCCTATCACTACAATCCTCGCCTGGCTCCACTGGCTCCCCATCCCCCAGATGATCAAGTTCAAATTCCACATCCTAATCTTTAAATCCCTCCAGTCTTGATCCACCCCACCTCTGCAAATTCCTCAAACCCTACCAACCCAACCACTCCCTCCACTTAGTGGGCACTAGCCCCTGCCCCATCATCTGTGGGTGAGCTTTCATTGTATCTGGCCCCACTCTCTGTAACTCCATCCCAGACTCCCTTTAACTCATCTTTCCCTTACCTCCTTCAATATTTGCTTCAAAAACTTCCTCTTTGACTGTGCCTTTGGTTATCTTTACTCCCTTGCTCCTCCCCCCCACCACTCCCAGCTTGGGTGCAAACCTTAGACCGTCCAGGACTTGGGACGCCTCCCCCCACCCCGCCCCTATAATATAGGGAATAAGGTTGCAACGGTGCAGTCAGAGATGCAAAGATTTTGAGACATAAAATTAAAATCTGTACAGACTAAGAGAAAATTCTTAATTCAGTCTCAAGTGGGATACTCTTTTTCTGAGTTTTCTCTGAGTTATGCTACAATGATTGCTCACAAATATCTTGACATATTTAATTTACTTCAAAGCACAGTTTAATTTCTACCTTTAATTTACAATCAATTTACTGTTAAAATGCATACACCTTACACTGTTAATACCCAGTACCCATGAAACAGTTTATGACACCTGGCATACAGCTGTGGTTAGCTTGCAGACAAGTCCTGCAGTTTGTACTATTATTTGTTTCTATGCTTGAGTGAGATAGTGGTTGGGGATGGGTCGGTAGGGGGAAAGAGAAGGGGAAAGTTAGCATTTTTGTGTTGACTGTTTGGCCTTTTTTGCCTCATCTCTGTCGCTCCTATGTGGCTGGTGACTTGCTTCACAACTTTTCAGCTTTGTGTTTGTGCTTGGATATGGCGTTTTGCTGGCACCCTTATTGGTTGTTGGTAGTAACATTAAGCATTCCATCTATATTTGTGATTTATTTTTGGTTCAACCTCAGAGACTACAGGATTTTGTATGGACTAACCCATTCTTTAAAATGCCTAATTCCACATCAGGGGTAAAGTGGTAGGGACCCCGATCACAAGAACTGCCAACAACCCACTAATTTGTACGCATTTGCAACTAAATAAACAAAACTGCAATACAAAAGCTCAAGCAGTACTTATTTCTTGAAGCAAAAGTTTCTAAAAATTAAAACATTAACTCTGTTAAATAAAACTAGGCATTAAACAAGACATGATGAGCTTCCATAAGAAAATAACTTTCTTCATGAATGCAACTTCTGTATGTAGATCTACCTAGAGAGTAGTAAGATTTGTATTCAGTGATTCAATCTTTCTTGGTCACTTTTTTTAGTTTGTTTTTCCACAGCTGGTGATGAACCGAAAGGGGAACACCCTGTCCAGTGACCAGTCTTCTGGCAGAATCCAATGCAGAATCGGTGCCACAACTGGTGCTTAATTATAGGTGGAAGGTTTCCTGAATTAGTGCATGAATTGGGTGCTGTGAAACTCCGGAATTCCTTAATAATTTAAGACTAGTTATTATTTCTCAAGAAAAAAATAGGAACTTTAGTGATACATTAAAGCCAAGCATGTCTGTTAAGATGGCTATCATTTCCTGTATTCAGTAATACCTGTGCTGTCTCTCCTATCTTGTCCTCTCATTTACACTGAGATCAAATTGGCCAAAGGGCCTTCTTTATCCAAACCTCTCTTATAAATTTGTAAGAGTAAACCCAACACTTGTTTTTTTTAAATACAATCCAAATTTCATTCTGCATTCCCAGAAATTGGAATTGCTTTCATTCGGATGAGATGTTAAACTGAGGCACGGTCTGCCTGTCCAGCTGGATGTGAAAGATCCCATGGCAATATTCGAAAAAGAGAAGGGAGTTTCTCTCTCCTGGGTCCTGGCCAACAATTCCCCAAATAAAACCTCATTTCATGGCTGTTTGCAGGAGGTTGGTGTGTGTAAACTGGCTGCACATATCTCCAAAAAATACATAGAGTCACACTACATTGTATTTTGCAAATACATCTTCCTGATGGGAAAGGTGCTTTACCAATTGCAATCATTATCAACATTACTATTTAACACACCCTCTGGATTATAAAAGCAAATAGAGTTTATATTTTAATTGGGTGGGAGGGAGAGGAGAAAGATTTTTTTACATAATAAATGCTAGGTATTAAATCACATCAGAGATCCAGTAAA